AGTTGCCACTTTCGATAACTACGGAAAAAAAGTGCCGTAAAACACAGCATTTCCGACCACAACAAGTCCAAAAAATAAGAGGTCTGGGCGTCGCACCGGGGGGGATGCCGTACTACCACCACCACCACCACCACCACCACCACTGCTCCTACCACTACCACTACTGCCACTTCTCCACTGCTACTACTACTACTACTACTACTACTACTCCTACTGCTACTACTACTACTACTACGACTACGACTACGACGACGACGAGCACTACTACCACTACTGCTACGATTACCACTACTGCTACCACAGCTACTATCACTTCCACCACCACCTCCACTGCCATGACCACGACCAAGACCACGACAACTGCAACTGCTACTACTGCTACCGCAACTGCAACTGCTGCTACCAATCCGTCTGCAACAAACACGACGACACTACTGCAACAACGACTACCAGCACCACAGTGATGGGGAACTCGCTGCGAGCGCCCAGGTCAGGCGGCCCTAGAGCGGCAGCGCCAGAGCCAGCAAGCGCAGCTCGAGGAGTTGCAAAAGCAGCCCCTAGTCGGATTAAACATATTTTTATGCTTGTTGTTACGTCATTGACCATGCCAGCGGAGATCCCGACCATGCCAGATGCATGCCGTTGGGCCATCACTGTCGCATGCGAACGGGCCTGAATTGCTTGGGATAACCCAGATCGCAATTTGCTGCCACTTCTGCTTATTCGGTATTATTGTGACTACGGCTGTGACTCGTTCTATATCTCTCTCTCCCTCTCTCTGCATGTTTATGTTGCTAGTTATTGTTCTCGCTGGTTGCTAGTGTACATGATGGTTTTGAGGAACCTCGATTTATTGAATTGATTTTTTGCTGTTTGCAAATCATTTGTCATGGTGATTGTTGTCGCCATTATTGCTTCTTGTTGTTGTTGTTGTGGTTGTTGTTGGTCTCATTATCATTACTATCTCTTTTGGGTTGGGTAACTAGAGATCGAGGAACCTCCGATCTAGAGTGCCGTGTAAGATATCTTGTCGAGGCATGACGTAGAACTGCTCATGAATGCTTGGGTTCTGGGTCTGTTGAGGTAAGACAGGAAAGCTTCCCCAAAGTGGAATCCCGAAAGGCCTTCCTTGCCATAGACAACAGTACAGCCCTCGAAACAGATACAAGCATATCCCCTTATGGTCCATATCTAGTTATACGAAAATGTGCACCAGAGCCCGTGCCAGAGCCCCATTTTAGGTTTACTGAGGCGCAGACAATGGGCTCAACAGCCAATAGGGAAGTTTCCGAGGCTGGATCGAGACTGATTCAAACCTAAACGGAACAACAAACCGTACGCTTCAAGGAATTTCGCAGTTTCTCTGCTCTTCTCCCTAGCGATGGATCCACACACAGGTTCAGCCCCGATGCACCAGGCCCGAGTGCCACGCCTGACCCCTCTTTTGTCTGTGTGTCACATCAACCCCACATGGAGCCCACGAAGAGCTCTTTTCCAGGCAGAAGACTCGATTTCTACTCGCACTGGATGCGCAGGCACTGAGGGGCAGGGGTCCAGGGGTAGTCGTCCAGGCCGGCCAGGCTTTCAAAAGGCCCCCAGAGTTCGTCGCGGTCCCTGTTGAGGTTCCGGGTTCAGGCTTGAGGGCCTCCGGGTAGGGTGATCTTCTTGCAGCCGGCTCTTCGTCCTAAGGGCTATCGCTAGCAGAAGTTGTCATGTCTACACTGCACAAGAAGCCATGCCTTGAAGCCAGAGACCCCAAAGCCCTCAACCCTAGACCCCAAACCTCCCCGTCCCGGACACCCAAAGCCGGGAGGTGAAGGCTGATGAGTACGCCCTCAGCAAGGATCGGACTTGACTGCCCGACACTCCTTTGTGCCCAGTTCCGTTTGGTGGGGTCAGGGTTCAGGGGATTCCGACCTTTTGCGCAAGAGCCCTGGTTCAGGACCACAACGAGCAGCTGATGCGACTCCAGCAGGACAGCTACTTTCTCCTGCTAGCTACGTGTTCCTGCCCCAGCAAACCCGAAATCGCAGTCTCCGAATCCCCGAAACCCTCAGCGTAACTCTAAACGTAAGCGCCAAAACCCCAAACCTCAAACCCGTTAGTAAGCTTGCAAATCCTCTAGGGGCATTGGGCGCGGAATGGAGGTTTGAATACTGAGTAGACTCCGTTGCTACTAAACCATTGAGACTCTAACCCCCCCCAAGCCCACTCCAACTACCAAATCCTCTATTCCGCAACTCTAGCAGGATGCACAGCGGAAACGTGCCCAGCTGGAGCAGCAGGCCTCCGTTGAGACGAGCTGATCACTCTTTGAGCCCCAACAACTCGGAGGGGAGAAAAAAGAGCTTCGGTTTCAATTGGGCCCTGGTTTCAGCGGTTCTCTTTGGCTTTTTCTTTGGGTTCTGTGCCAGGCCACAAGCCTCGTTCTCGAGTTCCAGCAGCGTCGCCTGGCTTTGGCGCTTGAAACACCGTGCAGGAGGTCCAGGGTTCCGGGCTGAGGTCCAGGGTTTACACGTTAGGGTGCCAGGACTTTCCTACAGGGTTGACGCTTTCGGGGCGGAACCACTCTGCCCTTCTGGTCTCAACGTTTGGCTTTGGGGCTTGGAGCTCTGCTTCATCACTTCCGACTCAAACATCTCATATCCTTCCGGTAGCTGGCGTGGGCTACCACGTTGAGTATTGTGCAATTCATAGCACCAGTAGCAGATGCCTTGAGGTTTGACGCTTTCTTCCAAGGGTTCCTTTTGGCAAGCCAGGTTTACGGCCAGGTGTCCTGTTCGTTTGGGGCTCCTTCGCATGGGAGTCCGATGTGAAGCAGCGAGAAGAACAACAACGATAGGTGACAAGCAAGACTAAGAGGCTGCTGGCTGGCAGATTTGCCGGAATTCGCAAGGGTTTTGCGAACGGTGACGTATCAGGACCTGCGAGAAGAGTGAAGGGACGCACTACTTTCAGTTCAAGTTTGGAGATATTCTTCTGCATGTCTGTGACCAAAGGTTTCGGTGAATGAAGCCAACCTAGGCCCTAAAGCACAAGCCCAAACTCCTAACCCCCAAAGCCCTAAACCCTGAACCCTAAACGCCCTAAAGCCTCAACCCCAAAGTCCCTCGCTCAGCGGGCCGTTTCTCATCTGAGGGAAGCTGGAAGAGGAGTTCTACGCCCAGCAGCGAGACATTCATCGCCAGCATGAGGAAGTGCAAAGCAGGCGGGTTTTAAGGTATTACCGTTGGTGGAATAAGGTTATAAACCCTCAGCCCTCGGAAGCCAAACGTTGATGATCCTCGGTCCTTGGGTTCCAATGAGCAAGCGGAGCTTTCCAGGGTTCCGGAAGAACCAGGGACTCCGTATCGAGCGGTCCTTGTACCAAGGATCCTGTTGCATGTTGGGGGTCCCTAGGGTCCCGTTTAGGCTAAACGGGTCCTTTTTGTAAGGGTGCCGCACTATATTAGTCACTATAATTATTGGGGACCAAAAAAAAGGGACCCTAATTTAGAGAACTACCCCCTTGTTTTCTGAATCTCTCAGGTTCATTTTTACCAAGGCTTTGAGCTCCATGTTTCGCGCAGCGGGGGTAGACTCTATCTTGAAACGGGCTCGCGACTCCGGCGAAACAGTACCCTTTCTAGGATTTAGCTTTCCGGCGTGAGAGAACACGTGAACAACACAGTGTTGTGAAGGTTGGCTACCGAGCTGCAAAAGCTCCTTGCGCCAGGCGCAACACGGTTTCTGAGGGCTCCGGAGGCTTCCGGGATGAGTTCTCCCCGGGAAGCCGTAAAAACCAGTCATTACACTATCACTAGTGATAAGTGTTATAATTTATACCATCAACAAAATTATAAATGATACAAGTATGTATCACAAGACTGTATGAATAGCATTAGACCCTTGCGGATCTAGCTAGCCCCCAAACCCTCCGGAAATGCGAGTTCATCGTTTTTGCGAGAGAGAGGTTGTAGGGCCGGTTTAGGGTTTAGGGTAGTTGTCCCAAAACCGCGTATTTGAATCCTCCGAGATCTCGGAGCCTGAAATTCCCAGGTGCCGCGAGCGCTAAGGCCTTTGAGGCTTCTGAGGAGGGCCCTTGTTACTCGATAGCCCGTTTTAGGGGTTTAGGGGTTTGGGGGTTTGGGGGTTTAGGGTTTAGGGCTTAGCGGTTTAGGGTTTAGGGTTTAGGGCCAGGCAAGTCGGGCGGCGACGCACTTTGGGCGGCGCCTGCGCCCCAAGCATCAGGGAGGGCAAGAGTCGCGATTGGATGAAGACACTCTGAAGCCTAACAAAACAATAAGAATAAGAATAATACTAAGAATAAAAAAATAACACGAATAATAATCTAATGCTACGACTGTTACTAATCAGAATGATCATAGAATCATAGTGAGCCGTCAAACTCCAAAAGTCGTCAGAATGCATCACCCCAAGCGTCGTGGTGGAACGCGGCGGGGCGAATTACCGGGCACGTAATTCGGCCCGCGGGCAATTACGGGCCCGTAAGCCCTAAACATCCACCAAAGCTGGAACCTTCCAACCTGCACTCAGTCTCTCAAGCCCCCAAGCCTCAACCCTAAAGCTCTTAGCTCCTCAAGCCTGACGAAGCCGTCAGACCCTCAACCCTAAACTCTTCAAAATGAGGCCGCATCGCAATCAGATGCCGCGCGTGAACTCAGAGGCCGTTCCACCGAGTTTCGGGTTTCATGCCTTGCTTAGAACCAGGGTTCGCAAATTGGGGGGTTTAGGGTTTCTTGTCTGCAGCAAAACGCAGGGAGTTCTGAGAACCTGGCTTGCTGGAGATCTGCCAGCTCCCAAACTCTCCAAAGCATCATCGGCATTTCTGGATTTGTTCGACGTCTTCTGCACTTCCTGCCTTCGTGGTTTCGCAAGGCAAGAGGCCTTCAAGGCAGGACACAGCGAAGCCCCGTTCCCAAAGCATGCCCCAAGCGTTCTCGAAGTTCTCGAAGCCTGGTTCCTGAAACCCAAACACCGTCCGAAGGGGCCCAGACGGATCAGCTCTTTCCGACCACTGTCACGTGTGCCGCTCTCCGCCTCACCCAGCCTGGAGCCCGGAGGGTGCTTAGACTTAGACTTCCAGGGCAGTACTAGGGGGGGGGGGTCGGAATATTTAGCAGCTAATTTAGCAATACTCTTCGCTTAATGTTTACAACCCGAAAGTGTTTGCCAAGATCATGATGGGGCAAGCGCAAGATGTGCTTGGAATTCTTGCACCTTGGGGCTGTCGGAGGTGTAGAACCCCTGACTTTACAGCCTTTGCATCGTGGGTTGCTTGTGGGGGAATTCGGTGCAGTTTCTGGTGGGCTTCGGTGTCAGGCGACGTGGATGCGTAGGATGGCTTCTGATGCAGAGCGTTGCATCCCGCCACATACAACTCACAAAATCCTATACTAAACCTTGAACCCTGAAGACCTGAATGTTCCGGCTCTGGCACGGGATGCTGGGGGCTCCTCCAGGCCACCCACATGCTCGGATCGCTCCTGAGGTATGCAGCTGCCTGTCGGGAGCCTTATGCATCGGCCGGGGGCCCGACTTCCACAACATTTCGCCTGCGGTTTAGTTAGGCTTCTGGGGACAACTCTTTTGTCGCGGTGAGGGTATTAGGGGTGTTAGTGTTAAGTTTAGGCTTTAAGGGTGTTTGTAGCGGTTGTCGGAACTTAAGGTTCGCGTGTGTCTGCACTCAAGGAACCCGGTCCATGAGGAATCCGTTAAGCTTTAAGATATGAATGGAATAGCCGCAACAGGTCTGATCATGACACTATCAAGACTTGCCATGTTACTCCTCCTTCTCTGCCTCTCCTCCTCTCCTCCTCGCCACTCCTCTCCTGTCCTGCTCTCATCTCCCCCTCCTTCTCGTCCTCCTCCTCCTCCTCCTCCTCCTCGTTGCAACAGTAACGACAACAGCAACAACATCAACAACACTACGTTGCTCTAACCATAATGATAGTAGCAGTAGTAACAATAACAGCAATAATAATAGTGAATAGTAACTGCAATACTAATCATCATAATAAGCATAGTAATAGCAAGAATGAGAATTGCTCTTTGGAAAGAGCAGGCACGAG